GGGGGGGGGGGGTTGTGGGGTTTTTTGTTTGTTTTTTGAGAAAAGGAAATGCCCTTTGTAATACCCTCACCCAGGAGGGTTTTATGCCTTAAGAGGCTTGAGCACTAGTTTTTTCAGCTCAAATCTCTCCACCAGCTGACAACCTCGCAGATTGAAGTCACTCATTCATTCACATTCACTTTCTGATTCAGGGCCAGCACCAACCCATGAACCAGGTTTTCTCACTGTAACTTTATTTCAGAACCCCCTTTGGCCTTCCCTACATAAAAATACAGGAGTTTATACAGTAGGTTTCTTAGCTCTGAATCTCAGGTTAGGCCTCTTAAACAAACAGACAAAAAAACACCTAAAGTCCTTGCTACCTAATCCTGAAACAATGAGATCTAGTCACTCAATATGTGCAGTAATCAGAGGGCCATTCAAGTGACCTTTTCAGGATCAAGAAATTCAGCTTCTTGCAATTAAACTATACCCCACTATAATGAATATTCTAAAAATTGTTAATCTGGTTTATTTGGAAAGCCTAAAGATTAAAAGTTCTTCTAAGGGCATATCTTAGAACCTGCCAAAATTAGGAGTTCTCTCTCTTGTTGCCAGGAAAATCTACACTCAAAGAGAGGCATACTTTTGAGTGCAAAGAGTTGAAAATTATAGGCTATCAAGCAAAAGAGTTCTATTCTTTTTAAATCTTTTATAATGTACAGTGCTGAGTATCACCCATATATTACCTGCTTCATGTTGTGTAAGAAATTACCTTGTTGCCATGATATCTTCCAAATATACTACCAGATGAGCTATCCTCGAGGTCATGGAAAGAAAAGCTCAGACATCCTGAGAAGCAAGGGGGAAAGAAAACACACAGGATAGGGTACAAATGAGATGGAAAGACTCTTGAATTGAAACCTGTGGTTATGCAATGTTCATTTGTCCTGTCTCTTTTGTTGGCACATACAGCCTTCCAGTTAATGGTATCTTAATTGGACCAGAGTTGAGGTTTGAGCAAGGGACCAACGATGGGAGGCACCAATGACACGCTCTGACTCTACTGGAGAAATGCAGGGGCAAGAATGTCTGGCCACAGCAGTAGCTTGCAGGTTAACCTGCTGAGCAAGTACAGGTTTTGCACTTTTTCAGCGGGACAAGTGGGACACAGTATGATTTGACCACTAGGTGGCATAACTAAGACCTGTGAATGTTGAATGTCTCATGTATATTTAGTGTCAGGAATATATCATGTTTAATGAGTATTAGTACCTCTTGTATGTTTAGTGCCTCATGAATATTAGGTACCTCTTGATCATTTCAGCCTTTTTTATGTACACAAGTATATGCCCTACTAAATGTATCTATCCACTGTGTCTCACAGGTTAGTAACTTAACACATGAGTTTTGTCCATACTATTTATTTATTTTCTTCCAGAGAAGAATTGAATATTCTCAAACAATACAGTCCTGGGCTTTAGAGCTGGTATTATGTCCATGGTGATGAAGCAAACTTCTTATGACTCCTTCATTACTTTTATCAAGGTAGATTTAGCCGAGGCATAGTAATTCTAAGCACAATATTCTTTTATTTTACCTGGGAAACTGTTAAACAAGTTTCTTAGGGGCTTTTTGTAGGAAAAAATGTTGAAAAGCAAGCAAAAACTTTTCTAAATTAAGTGGAATTTTTCACAGAGATTTACACACATTATATATTCTCTTCTCTCACTGCAGATATATAGCCTAATTTTGGAAAGAGGCACATAGATTCTGAGAAGAAGAGATAATAGTCACAGTCTATTGATCAACTGTATGTGCTTTCTGTGATCCTTTTATAAATAAATCCTAAATCCTTTTATGATAGTGTATTAGTTCCCACACGGGGATTATCCCAAGGATCTTATAAATGGGCAAAAACAAGTCTACTTTTACATTTGGTTCTGTAATATTGTTTGCATTATGCACTACCTTATTCCCTTATGAGAACTCATTTATTTTAAAATCTATTGTTGCCCTGGCTGGTGTGGCTCAATGGATAGGGTGTCTGCCCATGCACCAAAGGGTCATGAGTTCAATCCCTGGTCAATGGCAAG